GAGGCCGCAGCAGAGCAGCAGAGCAGCGCTGCCAGCCACACTCTATGGAAGCAGGACAGCTGGAGGCCCACTCCTGGCCAGCCAGGTTTGCCAGCAAAGCTTCCTTGCAGGCCAGGTTGCCAACTGCAGGGGTCTGACTGGCATCTGGACAGACAGGTTTAGAGGAATCACTGCAAACACTCAACAAACACACCTGTCGCCAGCCCTGGGAGTCTTACTACTCCTGGGTAATAGTAACAGGGATCTGGCTGCAGCTTTTCCGAATTTGCCCAGGGCCAGGTCATGACCTAGGGCTTCCTCAGTTCCATTTATAAGACTCTCTAGTTAGGTTCTGTTTCTAGTTTAAATATATTTAAAGGAAGTTCAGAGAAGCTTAACTTTTTTTTTTTTTTTTTGAAGAGGCTTTTTTGCTATAGGGCACGTGCACTCATCAGACAGAGAGAGAGAGACAGAGAGACAGAAAGCGAGAAATCACCCCCCAGGGGGGAAGGCCACACCGCAATCCCTTCTCCTCCATTCTCCTCTCCAGATCTTGGGCACGCACGCACACGTGCCCAGCGTGAGTTTTAAGCCACTGGGTCCAGGACGCGAACCGCGGTTGACTACGTGGGAGTCCAGCGACATAGCCATTACGCTAACTGCTGGTCCCAAGAAGCGTAACTTTTTTTAGTACCCCTTCTAAGTCACCGTCTAGCGCTCCTCTGCCATGAACAGAGGGCCTGTGAGAAGGCAAGAAGTCAAGTCCCAGTGTCCTGCTAGCTCTAAGGAATGTGGTCCCTCTGTAAATGCCTCTGTGCTTCCATTTCTCCCAAAACGAAGCTGAATTCTGGATGTGGTTTAGGACCCAGCAAGACCCAGCGTATGTCTGGATCTACTTCAGACAGAAATGCACCTCTGAGCGTTTTTCCAGGGGGTGAGGGAGACTGATGCAGGGTGGTGATTTCTATTAATATATATCTAGTCTTTCCTCCCCTCTCCATGAGATCCCCTGATGATGATTCCACTGTGTGATGCATGGAAATGGCTTGTAGGTGGAAAAAATGAGGCTGCTAATCACTCCCTAAACCAATTTTATTTTGAACTCAAACAGGGATTGACTTTACTACTGAGCCCCAGTTTTGGTAAAGCATTTTCTGTGGGCTTCCGATGGCCCAGCTTGCCTTAGCCCGATACTGCTGGCACCCCTCCTTCACGTTCTCCCCAGTAACTAGGTGCCGAGGCCAAGGCAGAGGCAGCGAATTGGCAGAGGCTTGCAGATGCCTTTTGTTCGGCCCACACAATTTTTAAAAAATGAGAATTAGTTGTCAGCATGTAAAAAGTAAGAAATTTTATATAAAACCCCAGACTTCTAGCTTCTCGTCAAATAAAATGAGCCACAGGAAGCCTGGGTCCACATCTTGCAGGAACCAAACAGTGGCTGCCCCTCTTCATACCGGGCAAACACCATCCAGGTCCTCCCAGACCCTGTCACTGCCTATTGTCTCACATCCAGCCAGCTTTCCTTGAGAACATTTCTTGGCTGACCCTGCAGGCATTTAAGTTTGTGCAGGTGGGCTGGAGCTGGCAGGTGGCATGGAGGTTAAGGTGCTGGACTCTCACATGGCCGACAGTTCAAGTCCCTGCACCTGGAGATTTGCTTTCTTTCCCTCTCTCTCTCATCACGTTAAAAATAATAATAATAATGAATAAAAATTAAATAATTTTTTTAAAAGCCTGTATGGGGAGGGGCCAGCCCTGTAGCCTAGTGAGGGACCTGGATCTCAGATGGCTGACCATGGTCCTGGCTGCAGTGGCTTGAAAAAATACACTGGCTGGTCCAGCAGTTAGTGTAATGGCTATGTCGCTGGACTCCCACGTAGTCGACCGCGGTTCGTGTCCCGAACCTGGTGGCTTAAACTCACGCCGGGCGCGTGTGCGTGCGTGCCCAAGATCCCGAGAGGAGAATGGAGAAGGGATTGCTGCGTGGCCATCTCCCCTCGGTGGTGATTTCTCGCTTTCTGTCTCTCTGTCTCTCTCTGTCTGTCTGGAGAGCGCACGTGTCCTATAGCAAAAACACCTCTCAAAAAACAAACAAACAAACAACAACAAAAAAAAACACTGGGTACATGTGTGTGCCCCAAATCCCGAAGAGGGGAGAAATGGAGAAGAGACTGTGATGTGACCATAGCCCTTTCGGGATTCTTCCTCTCTTTCTCTCTGGCAAGCATGCACACCCTCTGGCAATGAAAAAAAAAAAAAAAAAAACCAGTTAGTTCTGGTAGACCTGAGGCATCTCTGGGGCCCACTGGTAAAACAGAACTCCTCTTGTTCCCAGGCTGAATGTAGAATCCTGGAGACTTGGGGGCTTGTTCTTTTTTGCAACTGAAATAGGCTGAGAACAGGGGTCATTTCTTTTGCGTGTACTATCCCTGTTTGCTGGAGAGAGCCCTGGACTTCCAGGCAGAAGACAAAGCAAAAGTCTCACCGTTTCGTGGGGGCTCCTGGACTGGTGGGAAAAGAGATGACAGTTTTTCTCACTCTAATGACCTGAATGTGGGACACATAGCCGGCCTCCTGCCCACAGGTGTCTACGCATGATGCCCATGCACAAAATGCTTGCACTGTTTTATTCCGTTTTCTCTAGTGTGTGTGCTTTCCCAAAGTCATGCCTAACAGAGCTGCCCATAAGGTCCTTCTGGTGACAATGACAGACACTGACTGCCATCAAAAGAACACAGCATGGGTGGGAAGAGGTAGAGTTCTATTACTCGTCAAAGCTACTCACTGTAAGACAATCCTGAAGCCTAAGTTTTATCTCTAGCATAGGTTCTGCTGAGAAAAGGTGAGATCGGGCTGCTTCCCTGTAAGCTTGGGAATCATCTCAAAGCTCTGGGGAGACATGTCCAAAAGGGAGATGGTGGGAACACAACTCATGTAAACCTAGCTTTGACTTCAACAGCCAAAGGAGGAGATCAAAATGTTTTTTGAGCTCTTATGATACTAGGAATCAATGTTCACATGCATCAACTCAATTCCCACAAAAATCCCTTGAAGTGGAAGTCAGTACCCTGTTTTTGAGAAGAAAATTGCAGGTGGTAGATGTTAAAAAACACGTCCAAACTGTACCAGGATCCAAACCTCAGTCTGCCACTCAGACTGCTCACAAGCCACCTCTCCATCACCCTCCTACATCTCTCTGCCTTTTTCGTTGGTTAAAGTGCATTTCTTTCTCCCGTGAGTGAGGCAGAGTGAGAGTTACAACACCCTTATCAGGGTCTTGATACTGCGATCTACTCCCAGCCTCAGCCAGCCTTGGACCGTGGGCATGTGAGCACTCAGCGTATGCAGGAAGGTCTCCGGATGTAAACTGGGAACCCTCCTACATGGGTCAGCCTCACGGTGTTGTGTTACTGCTGTGCCACCATCCAGCCTCACCTCTTTTATTTTTTTCATGCTTTTATCACCTGTTATTACATACATATTACAGTCGTGTGTTTGGTCCGTGTCCCCCATCTTGTCACTGCTCACTGCCGTTTCTTTGCATGGAGAACAGCATCTGGCACCTGGCGAGCCCTGCGAGTATGTGTGGTTGGACTGATGGAAGAGCAGCTCCATCTGCCTCACCACGCTGCTGCCAAAAAGCACCCCTTTCCTTATCTGCTCTCTCATTCTTCTCCTTTCCATGAACCCCAAACACCCACCTCAGAGGCTAAGAAAAACAACACTGAAACGGCAAGTGGCTCCTCATTCCTTCAGAAAAAGTTTAAGAGGGCCGGCAGGTGGTGTGATGGTTAAGGGCGTTGGACTCCCACATGGCTGACCATGGTTCAAGTACTGGACCTGGCAGCTTGCTTTCTCACGTTCACTCTCTCCCTTTTACTTGTCCCTGTCTGGTCAAATTAAGGGGAAAAAAAATCCTTTAAAAAGAAAAAAAGAAAGAAGAGCTTAGGGGCTAGCAGGTGGTAAGATGGTAAAGGTGCTAGACTCCCACAGGGCAACAGTGGTTCAAGACCCGGACCCAGTGGCTTGAAACTCATGCTGGGCATGTGTGCATGCATGCCCAAAATCTTGAGAGGAGAATGGAGAAGGGATTGCAGTGTGGCCATCCCCTGGAGGGAGAGGGATTTCTCACTTTCTTTCTCTGTCGCTGTCTCTCTGGTGAGTGTATGTGCCCCATATCAAAAATCTCTCTCTCTTAAAAAAGAAAAAAGAAAAAAGAAAGAAAAGGAGTTTAGAGGAAGGTTAATTTCCTGCAAATTCAAGAAAATTCTGTGTGTATAGACGTCTGCCTCCTTCAAAGGCAGAAGTTGGGCCAGCCAGTGGTGTTGACAGTAAGGTGGCAGAATCCCACATGCCCGACTGTGCTGGACCTGGCAGCTTGAAAAACCCGCTGGCGCCTGCCCAAAATCCCAAGAGGAGAACGGAAGAAAAGGAATTATGTCATGGCCATCTTTCCTGGGGAGGTGTTTCTCACTTCCCATTTCTTTCTTTCTCTGTTTCTATCTAGGAGCATGTGCACCTGATAGCAAATTAAGGGGGGGAAAGGCACGCGTCTTCATGTTAAAGCAAGGTTTATCTTGGACTCTTTTTTTTCTCTCTTGTTTGCATTGTAGAGGTTTTTGCTATAGGGTGTGTGCGCTCAACAGAGAGATAGAGAGACAGAAAGCGAGAAATCATCCCCCCTGGGGATGATTGCCACATAGCAATCCCTTCTCCTCCTTCCTCCTCTCGGTATCTTGGGCACGCACGCACACGCGCCCAATGTGAGTTTAAGCCACCAGGTCTGGGACTCGAACTGTTGGTCGACTACATGGGAGTCCAGTGACATAGCCATTATGCTAACTGCTGGTCCCAAATAAAATAATTCTTAAAAAAAAAAAAGATTTCAAAGGTTTCTGAGTTGATTTGGACTTACAGTCATATTTAAGAACTACTAAACCTGAGGACTCATCTTTCCCTGGCCCAGGACAGTGCCCTCAGCTCTAAAACCACCTCCCACCATCCCTCAGTCACTCACTCACCACACAGAGCAATGATGTGGCTGCTGTCTTCATGCACAAACTTCCTGGTGACAGCCTCTTCCATGATTTGCTTTACCTGTGGACAAATGGGCATTGTTATTTTTTTGAAATAATTATTTTCTTCTTTAACTTCTTTCTTTATTCATTCAGTTATTTTAATTTGACTAGAGAGGGACAGAGAGTGAGAGTGAGAGAGAGGGAGAGGGTGAGGGAGAAAGTGAGAAAGCAAGTCATCAGGTCCAGGACTCAAACCGCGGTCAATCATGTGGGAGTCCAGAGCCTTTAACCACCACGCCACCGGCCCCTGGACAATGTTAATTTTATTTCTGACCAATGGTCTCCAGGCAAGTAAATAGCTTGGCTTTGTCCTCTGATCTGGGTTTTCAGACACTTGCAGAGATGATGACCATGTGAGGGACAGGGAAGCAAAATTTTTTCAGCCCAGTCTGCTTCAAGCCTTTTGGACAGGAAACCAGGAACAGAGATGCCCCAAACCCACCAACCGATCAGTGTGGAGATTCCTGCCCAAGAGAAAGGGTCCTGCCTGGGAGAACAGGAATAGGATGCTGTTTGTTCATCTGTCCTCCGCTGGAGAAGGGCTTCCAGGCAGACACACTGTTCTTTAGAGACAAACTATCTGAGTTTAAGCTGTAGATAAACAACCTGCTCCCCCACTTCCATCCCTCCTCCAGGGTCAGGAGTAGGTGCATGCCTCAGGGACACTCTATGTGCTTGCCAGCCCAGCCTTCTATCCAGGCTCTAAAACCCTGATGCTTCAGGCTTCTACCCAGATATAAAAGCTTCTAAACACCTCATAAGGTGAGCAATCATCTCTCTTTAGTGAAATATTTTTTAAAAAATGGGGAATGGCCACCCTATAGTCCCTTCTCCTCCATTTCTCCCTCCTTTCAGGATTTTGGGCAGGCACACACACACACCTGGTGTGATTTTCAACCTGCAAGGTCTGAGAATAAAGAAAGCCCCTGGGTCCAGAACTCGAACTGTGGTGTCAGCCATGTGGGATCTGGCTGCCTTAACCATCAAGCCATGGAGCCAGCCATTTCTACAGTTTTTATAAATGGAATCATTTGGTGTGTAGTGTTTTGTGACTGGTTTCTTTTGCACACTTTTGTGATTGTGAGGTTTGTTCATGTTGTGTATAGCAGTAGATTGCTCAGTCTCATTGTGTGAATACATACATGACTGGCATTTGGGTAAATGCCCAAGTCCATTCTGGACTTGTCTTTTGGTAAACATATGTGCTTGCTTTTTTGGATCTTTCTTTCTTTTTTTAAAAAAAGAATTATTTATTTAATTTTATTTACTCATTTATTTTAATTTGACCAGCGAGACACACACACACACACACACACACACACACACAGGGAAAGTGAGAAAGCAAGCCACCATATCCAGGACTTGAAGTAGTGTGTCTGTGGGTGTTTGGGGGGGGGGGGTGGGTAGAGGTTTTTTCCTATAGGGTGCATGCGCTCGCCAGAAAGACAGAAAGAGATAGAGAGCCAGAAAGCAAGAAGTCATCCTCCCAGAGCCTTACCCACCATGCCACCTGCTGGTCCTGGATAACTTCTTTTTTTTTTGAGAGAGAGATTTTTGCTATAAGGTATGTACACTTGCCGGAGAGACAGAGAAACACAAAGCAAGAAATCATCCCTCAGGGAGGATGGCCACACCGCAGTCCCTTCTCTTCTCCTCCATTCTTCTCTCAGGACTTTGGGCATGCATGCCTATAGTAAGTTTTGAGCTACTGGGTCCAGGACTTGAACCATGACCGACTAGATGGGAGTACAGTGCCCCAACCACCGCACCACCCACTGGCCCCTTGAATTTATATTTCTTTTCTTTATAATTATTTTATTAAACTTTATTTATTTATTTAATTTGACCAGAGAGGACCAGAGAGAGAGAGAGAAAGTGAGAAAGCAAGACACCAGGTCCAGGACTCAAACCTCGGTCAGCCAAGTGGGAGTCCAACACCCTTAACCACGATGCCACCTGCCAGCCCCTTAAATTTATATTTCTAAGGAAGGAATTTCTGATGCATAAAGTATGCTTTACTACATATTGCCAAACTACTTTCTAAAGTGGTTGTAGCAATTTATTCTCCCATCAGTGGTGTATGAGGGGCAGGTTGTTTCCAACACTTAAGCTGAGCACTGTTGATGTTCTGGGGGAACCTGCCAGGAGACAGATATTAATACTGGCGATTAGAGATATGGATTAATTGTGCCCCGGTGTAAATTCTTACAGCTAGAATAAGCTCTGGGCAGAGGTAGTCTTTCTCATTCCCTGGACAGGCACGTGCTGTGCTGATGCTGTCTTGGCTCCTGAAGTCCTCATCTAGGACTACACAGTTTGGAGAGTGGCAGAGTTCAAAGGCCTGGGAGAGGAGAAAGAAGGATCTGGAGGTTGCCCCCAGCTGGAAACTGCTCATGATGAGTGGTTAGGTGAACGGGAATCAGATTGATTCATATGCTCTGAAACTATAAAAAGCTTCCTAGATTACTTCCCAAGGGATGTTTACATTAAACAAAGCATAATGCCACAACTAGAGGCCTAGAGGCATCTGCAGCAGGCTGGTGGGCAGACTTTTCTGCTAGGAGGACCTCCAGATGCCCCTATAATTGTACCAGAGGTCCTTAGAAAGGCCAGCCTTGCCTGCAGTTATCCTCATTGTCTCTTCTTGTAGGAGAGGATAAAACATATTTCTGTGGAAACCAAGTACTGAAGGTGAGAAATACATCAAGTTCAGAATAGGTCAATATTTGTCTGGTAAGACACATAGCTGTAGCATATTCTGGACATTTTAACACATTTTCAGGAATCATTCTTAGAATAATAGAGCTTTCTTTCTTTTCTCTTCTCTCCTTTTTTTTTTTTTTTTTGCCATAGGGTGCATGTGCTCGACAGAAAGAGAGAGAGAGAAAGAAGTCACCCTCTGGGGTGGATGGCCATGCTGCAATCCCTTCTCCATTCTCCTCTCGGGATCTTGGGCATGCACGTACACGCGCCCAACGTGAGTTTAAGCCACCGGGTCCAGAACTTGAACTGCGGTTGACTACGTGGGAGTCCAACGACATAGCATTACACCAACTGCTGGTCCCAATATAGAGAGCTTTCTAAGTACTAGGGGAAAAAAATCTTGGTCTTATCAAAAATATTTCCAATTATCCCTGACCAACCTCTAAATTTAGGTCACATCAATTATCCTAGTATATCTGTTTATGGTTTGGATATAGCTATTTTAAAAACTTTGTTGGGACCAGCAGATAGTATGATGGTTACATTGCTGGACTCACACATTGTTGATTGAGGTTCGAGTCCCGGACCCGGTTGGTTGAAACACATGCCAGGCACATGGGTGTGCCTGCCCTAAATCCCAAGAGGAGAAAAGGGACTGCAGGGCCCAGCAGTTAGTGTAATGGCTATGTCGCTGGACTCCCATGTAGTTGACTGTGGTTCGAGTCCCGGACCCGGTGGCTTAAAACTCATGCCAGGGGGCCAGCAGGTGGCATGGTGGTTAGGGGCACTGGACTCCCACATGGTC